AGACACTGTCCACTCCTTGAGAATATAATATTACAAGAACTATTATGTAAATAAAACATTTTTCTATTTTCTATCACGCCTTAATACTTGTCTCCACCGCAAAAATGAATCACTCAATTGTTTATAACATTGAAAAAACCGAGACAATATTATATTTCTGTCTTAGTTTCTATTCAAGACAAGACAGAAAATGAAAAATTCTCATATAACTAAAAATAGGAAGAGAAAAAAGTGACAAAATTAATCAACCGATTGAATCGACGAAGGCCAAAATCCTTTCACGAATTCTCGATGAAAGGACACGTATATTATTTAACATAAAATTTATAAAGTCATAAATTGTTTTGAGATTCGATTGACCTACGTGAGACGAACGTTTCACCGGGCAATCTCCACTTATCAATATTTGCCTCATTTTTTTTTATCGATATAAAAAATAAATATTCAGGTCCCCGGTTTTCACGTTATGATTCGACATATCCAGGGTATACAGTAGCTTGAATACAGCTTTCTAATATACGCAGCATTAAATGATCGTGCCACGTATGCATAATGCTGCCACTCTCCTGACATTGAACTACATTTTTTTTTTTATTTACCTAAAGCCGTCCATTAGGCTTTTTACGGTGCAGTGAGAAATTAAAAATCCCCTATTGTAAATAAGATTTATGACAATATATTGAATAAAATATATTTTTTAATAGAGTGCTTAAGGCTTTTATTCTATACTTTCATAATTAATTGAGTAGAAAATAAGAAGCAAGCTGCCCAGGCCCCTAGAAATTCATTCAATGTGCAAACTTCCTCGATTGAAAAACCTTTCAACGAATTAATTTTCACAAACGTCATTTTTCAATCGATTAATTTCTTGAAATCGGATAGGGGTTTCTCTCAATAGAAAACACTCCTGGTACGTTTCTGGTACAGCCTTCTAAGAAGTCTAACCACAAGGAATAGAAAACAGGCCCGACATTGAATTTCTTCATCATAAATTATCAGGAGTGGATTACCCATTTTTTCGATTATTTATCCCTTTGTATTTTCGAAGAAATTCACTCGCCAATCTATCACTCATTTATTTCCGTCTATCGAAAGATTCAAACATTAAAAAAATTCAATCCGTTCTACCCGCGCATCCCTGAGCATCCCTTAATTACTGAAAATATTCAAAACGTCAATCAATCAAAATCAATCAACAGGAATGATTTCCTCTCCCATTCTCTCGGCACAGGAAGATAAAAACTTGAACCTAAAATTCTAAAACAAAAACTCAACTCTAAATGAAAATAAGTTAAACCATTCCTCTGAGGACTGAATAAATAGTGATTTTTCAGTATTTGCTGCAATGGTATTGCAAAAACTTGAGGCGATATTTCGGAATTATATAAGCCGACATATTGTATGGGTAAATTCACAAGTAAGACTTGCAGTCGGCGCAGGTGACTGAGTTTCAAAGCCTGGGAACAACCTGTTGTGAAGAAGTGGCCAAGCCATGTTACAGAGTATGTACTATATACCGTGGTAAATGCTGGAGAGTGGTCCGAGTTTGTTCATGTGGTGGATAAAGAAAAAAAAAAATAAATGCGACAGATGAAAAGATCTTCGTCACCATAATGCAGCACCTTGTCTTCCAAATCCGCTAATCATTATAATACCTCGAAATCCGTATAATTTTCACTTCGGATGGAGTACTAATTCTTTCCTTTCTATTCATCAATTTTTTATTGCATTAATTGTTTCTTTTCGTTGACTACTATTTCATAAAAATGACAGACTTTCTTCTTGTCTCGTCATTTTTTTTACCGAGTTTCATGCCCCCGGGGAAGAGCTATTAGACTCGTGTTCTTAAACACCAAAAAACAAGTGGAAACGTCAGGAAAAATTTATAGGGTCTTTATTATTTATCGATTTATTATATAAAGTGTGTATTTTCGTTTTTTAGGCCAGAGTTTTTGTCAAGCTCAAATTTCGGTGAATAGATTTCAGTTCTCTTTCTTCTTTCGGTGGGTGTACCGGTGAAAAATATTTAACAGTAATTTTTCTTGGTTTTTCATAACGTTATCGTCGAAAAACACGCAATGGAATCATTACGGGTGATTCATTCCGTGGGAAGAAAAGAATTCTCATACTTCTACAGAAATATCGGATTGACAGAAATCAGTATTAATTCATTTGCAATATAAAATTATTTAATCAACCTGACATCTTTCTATATTAGAAAGACCTCGATATAGAATCTATTCTAATCAGGGGAGCTAACGTGAAGATGAAATTATTTCTTAATGAACATGACGATTTAATTCGACAGAATGAAAGATTCCACTCCACTTTCCAATTTTTCTTCGTTTCGTTATCGATGAGATTGATTTTTCACCCAGATGAATTCCCACGCATTCTTCGATATTCTCCAGACAGGAAAAATTATTTCAGCACAAAAAACAATTCTTTCAATTTCAATTCCCAAGAATTTTTTTAAATTTCTGTTGTGGTGTGGTAAACCAGGATAAGCGCATTTTTTCGCGGGCAGTTTTCCCCCATTATCTCGAAATTGGAGGTACATGATGATTTTTACATAAATATCTTTTTTATAGATCTCATTTTTTCCTATAAAAGATGTTTATATAAAAAATTGGCTATCTTCCTTCAATTCTGAGATATTGGCTTATAATTGATCTTGAAAAAAAGGACTTATCCTGGTTTACCACTTCGGTACTGATTTCATTCGATATTGATAATCGGCAATCAATTTCAATTAAAATTCTATTCCGTTAAATCCTCCACGACAGTTACTACAAAATGATAGTATCAAGAATTCCGAAAAATTCCACAAGATAAATGAAACGAATCACAATATTTTTTGGACAGATTAAAAAAAATAAACTCGTTCATCTTCTTGCGGAGATATGATAGTTCCATCACGAGACAAAGACGAATTTATCCGCAATGACTCCACACAACACGATGAAAACAAATTTTCATTCTAGTCACGTTGGCGATGGTTTTCACCACTTCCGGCGACCAGTCACTGACAGAGGAACCCTGTGGCAAACTCGTATCATACATGCGTCGCTAAAAATTTAAGTTAAAAAACCTCAATACATAGGTTTTTGTCGAGGCGACAGGTGACCCGAACGTACAAGCCACTGGGATATCTCAACTTACTCCAAGTTAACTTTCTTCGGTTTCCTTTGACTACTGGAACTCGTCACAGCAGGTATATATCGACATATTCCACTTCATGACATATTCCCCGAGGTAAATGGGTCGACATCAACCAAAAAGAGGGCGTGGTGGAGAAAATGTTCCCTTTTAAATAAATCCATGTAATGGCAAGTCTCACCGTTTTCCCCGGCTATCTCACGATAATTTTTTTTAATAATTACCATATGTAAATAAAAGCTCCTCTTTAATTCTCCATTAAATTTTCTTTTATTATCAAAAAAATTATGTATAATTATGTAACATTTTTTAATGTTTAAACAAAGATAAACAAAGATAAAAATTTCATTAATTGCCGGTAAAGAGGGTAAAACATTCTTAATTGCCGCTTGACCAATTTAAATAAAAACATGTCTGTATTACCCTGCACTACCCTATGTATGTGGAATTTTACTTTTCTCGTGTGCTTTCACCGTATCCACCATTTATTGCTCCATTTTTGCCTCTTCACCTCGGACAAGGGAAAAAATCCGAAGCGTCGGTTTTTCCGTTGAATACGAGAGCCCGCGGTGGCACTCAGTTAAATTCTCGAGAGAATTGAAGGTAAAAGAGAGAATAGCCGGTGTACATGGGATATTGGACAAGATGAGAGAGAAAGATTTTCAGTGAAAATGCAAACCTCGTTCTCGGCATGGAAAAGCCTTCTTACATTTTCAACAAGAAAGCTGAGTGACTTGAAAGGTTGTTCCTCGATCATTCCTTTTCTCCACTTTTAAATCCTTCCTCATTGCACAATTTCCACCATTACGTAATTATTGTAATGAATGAATTACAAGGGGTTCGACGACTTTAGCAATACGCATGGGTCACTTCAAATTATTATATATTTATTTAATATAATATATATTTATTTTCCCTAGAAGAAATTTCCCTTTTTCTTTTCATCATTTGGAAATTATTGTAAAAGAAGATGGAGTTCATTTTTTGGGAAATTCCTCTAGATCTTCAATTCAATCGCGAAATTGAATTTTGAATTAATCCCTGAGCTTTTTTATTTTTTATTAACTGATTCATCGTTATGCATTAATTAATTAGGAGTAATTCCCTACGCGCTAAGAAAGTTGTGAAAAAAAATGTTAAAAATAAATGATAAACATGCGAATAAAGATGATTTCTTGTTCCCAGACAAGCAACATCTCTTCAGCGTCTGTATACATTCAGTAACATCTCTCTTCCGTTCTGCTTTTATTTATCCATTCATTTTTTTTTCACCTCGAACCGTCCAGATTCATAGAATCTCCTCGTTCTGCCCACGTGCGCTCTTTCTCATCCTCGAGTGGGTACTCATAATTACACACCACTCGTAATCCCCCCACGTACTCATTACACTCAAAGATGAAAGAACTCCGCCGAAAAGAAAAAAATGGCAGAAAAAAAAGCAGCCGAAACGCGAAAAAAAATAATGTATCACCGGTTCGGGTTATCGTACGACGAAAGTGAGAGGACATGAGAGGTGGATTGGACAGAATGGATAGCCAACACCGACAAGTTTCATTACTCTCATTTATCTCAATTGGCCTTTTTGTGACACTTTTCGAAAGGCACTATTTCGTCATAATTCAATTTTTTTTAATCCCTTTTATCAGCGCTCGATTCGATTCCCCCACTCTCCTATAAATTCAATACCATTCAATCGAATATTCCACTATTCTATATCCATAATTCGCAACATCCCCATCTGAATAATTTGAAAATTCACGCGATGTGCACAACGCGCCTGCGCAAATGACCGCGTAGAAAAAAAAAATGGTGCGAATATTTGAAAATAATAAACGGCTTACCATTTTTTCAGCGAGCACCTCTCCTCGACACCTCCAAAATTACCAAAACAACTGTCAAAATTATTCAATCAATCCTCTATTTCAGGGACAAAAAATTTCACTCAGCAAATAATCACAACTAATTAAACAAAAAAAAAAAGTGAAATTGAGCGTTACGAATGAACTATTCACAGCATGTTTCGTATTTATGGATTTTACTTTCGTACTATCACTTGTTACTTCCAATACTGTTTGTACTCCGTGTTGGATAATGAACAATTCAAAAGTGCCAGTTGAGTTTCGCGGGTTGTCTAGCACTGACAGTCGTTCAGGAAATACTGAAACTATCATTCTTAAATTTAGTACATGCCGGGGCAATATTATAGACAACAATTAAGCCGCCTTTCATTTTAACTATAGTGAAGAACACCGTTAACGTTTCTCTCCCGTATCCCCCTCTTCCTCTGCCTCTCACCTCTCCTCACTTCCCCTTTGCAGTAACCCCTCGTCCCCCTCCTGAGGCTACTTACCGGCATTTCGTTTCCAATGGACCCCTTCCCCCCCCTTTTCCACATATCCATTTTTATACGTGTATATAATACACCTTCAATCGTGATGGAGTTAAATGGGAACAGCCCGAGAGAGTGAAACGCCATCCACTGGCGAATGCGCTGGGGGTACCACATGGAGTTGTACCGGTACCAATGGCTAGAGTACACCATAAGTGCACTGAGACAATTCAATTGTCAGAATTTAATAGTTCTACTGGGCTCATGGGACATGCCCACAATTCGATGGTAGCTCGGGTAAAAAAAAATTGTAATCGGAATATTTTTTCCAAATTTTCAAAAAATTTCTGGAAAATTTTTCAAAAAATTTTTATATGAAACTAAAAAAAATCGAAAGCAAATAATTCAATTGTCACAATTCAAATGTTATAAATTTAGTACTTGAAATCAAGGAGAATAACTTTGTTTACCGATCACGGAGTGAATGAGAAAATTCGAATAAAAATTACAGAATCCCCTAAAAAAATTCCGTAACAATTTTTCTTGAGAATTTTTCTTGAGATAAATTTTCATTTAATTTTGGAAAAGGCATTTTTCACTAGTACAATAAAATATGCCTCTCGATGAAGACGATTTTTTTCAGTTGCACTTCAGTGTCAAAAAAAATGGAGAGAGAGAATAAACAGGAAAATAAAAACTCAGCTTAAATGTCTTCAGTATGAATATCCTATTGACGTACAGGGATAGGCGAAATAATACGAAGAACAGATAGTGGAAGAAAAAAAAATGGATTTACTTAAAATTTGGTCTCAAAATCATGGTCCTTGTTGTCGAACCCTGGTGAACCGTTCAATAAATAGTTAATAATAACATTTCAAAAGTAACATTGGCCGTAACTCTTAAAACGAATGTATCGAAAATTCAATGAATTTTTAAAATAAAAACATTGTCAAGCCTAACAAAAACGTCAGCGAGCAAATTTTAATTTGATTCACCACTTAATCAAGATCCAGACAATTGTCAATTCGTTAAGTGAATCATTTGGTATACTTAATCAATGTTTCCATTGTTATCGTAATTCAGAGTTCTGTCTTTTATTGATTGCATTGAGCGACACCCAGAGAGATAGCACGTATGCATTGAAATTTGTTTGTTCATCATTTCATTGTCTCGTAATGTTTTATTATACAATTTACCTCGTTACAACGGCAGTAAGGAGCAATAATCAAATTGTATTGATTGAACCTACACATTGTTTTCATGCTAACATTCTGTGTGAATTGATGAGTAATTGTGATAACGAGGCATACGAGATATTCAATCCTTCCATCAGTTTCAAGTTACTACCCAATTTCGACTGGTTTATTATTTTTTCATGGCGTTACACGAATTAACACATGACACATGTTTTATTTTACCGTAAGAAATCGCTCTGATATAATAATATCATTATTTTAAGTCGCATTGTTATCATTAATAAATAACGTATATGAATATATATAATATGTATATGTAATTTTGGATATTTCATCAAATTTAAAGTCGTCAGCTATTTCAACTTCTGTTTTTCATTTTGCTTATAATTTAATATCAGATAGATGATTGAATATTTGTGATAGTGCAAATGAATACAATAATTATTTTCAGTTTATCAGTTATTTCGATTAGAATTAATTTAATGTAATTAATTCGCTGGAATGACTTTCCTTCCACGAACGTAAGATTCAATCATGAAATTCTTTCAATTCAATCTTTCATATTCGAATGAATAAATCGCAATGGCGATGACAAACAATTGGCGACGTGATGAGAATGTTTAAATTTATATAACCATTTAATCTGCCATTCCTTTTATTTATTATCGAAAATTATTCATTCCTCCTCACCCGCAAATCACGCAGAGTCAATTTATTTTCCAATTCGATTGTTCTTTATTTCAATGCTGATTATGGGAGAATTCAGATAAAAAATTTCACTGAGAAATTCCATATTTCTTTGACCAATCAGTGCAGGACCAATCAGTTTGTAAATTGATCACTGGGTGAGCTGGGGTTTTTTCCAAATAATTCCACCCTCCATCTTCTTCACACTCCAACTCACTTTCCACCTCATCCCAAATATTTCCACTATTCATAAGAATAATTCCTCATAACCCACGCATGGTCAATCATTTCCTTGCGATTTGTTTGATATATTTTGTTCTCTCCTGTAAAATCTCATCCTCACAATGCTCATTTATCTGATTACTCTGTTTAGTTTTAGCTACTCGTCTTTTACATGATTATGCACTTTCCTTTCTCAGCCCATGGATTGTTCTTCTTGTCGGGTGCATGAATCAACGGATCATTTTTCTCATTTTCCTCGACGTACTCTCGCATCCTGAAACAAATAATGAGAGTGATCGATCAAATGAAATTTTTCGTTCATGGATAAACGAATGAAATGCAAACTGGAGAGTTGATTGAAATGGAATTATTTGTAGGCTATTTGGAGAAGTTAGTTGGGACAGTTTGGATCTATACTAAGCAGTTTATCGCTTCTGTCAACCGTTCTCTGGTGAAACGTAGTGGTAGTATAAGGGTGTGTGGGAAGAGGCGAGAGTAACGGCAGTTTGTCGTCGTTGAAATCGATTCATTAGTCCCAAGAGGAGAATAGGGAAATGCCCCGTAGCTATACCCACAAGCCAATGTTAATTAGCGTATCTCCTTCTCTCTCTTCTACCATTCACCCCACTCAACCCATTAAAATCCATCCCCTTTCTTGCTGCTATATCCATCCGTACAACCTCAGTAACATCCTCAACTCCACCTCTCTTCTGTTTGCCTCCAAATGCTCTAGATCTCCCATGAATTTACTGTTTCCGCATTTGAGTGCTAGAACCCAACGTTTACCAATCAGACCCAATACATTCATCCACATCTACCCCCTTGACGGATTTAATAACGACAATCCAAACAACGCACCTATAACAATTACTCCATGGTCTATCAACAAATCTGTCGTCAAGTGGTACACTAGAGTGACCGCTTTTTTTTCAACGCACGTTTTTCGCCGATTTATCGAAATTGGAGAGAGATAGGTATATTTTTATAGATACCTTTTTTGTTGCTCTCATCTTTTTCCATAAAAAATGTAGGAGCAAAAAATTCGATGTGGTCCGTCGATTCCGAGATATTGACTGAAAATGGATTTGATTTAATTTAGGAAAAGTTTGGATTGTGCGAAGTAAATCTACTTGGCGAGGGGAGATTAATTCACCAGACAATTTTTTTTTTGCAATGTACTTCGCGGACAAAGAGGCGAAGAGAAAGATAAATGAAGAAAATGGGCATGTCAACATCACTGGGGGAATATTGATTAAAATCCATGGGCTTTGGATACTACTGCTCCTCTCTCTCGTCGTCGATTGCCTCTTGCTTCTTCTTTTCCTCTTCTGGACATCAATTGCAATGATCCTTGTATGATCGTTTTCTCGTTACAGCAAATATCCCATTGCCACCGTTACACTCGTCGGGCAAGCAAAACTCTTGGTGAAAGGAACTGCACTCGAGATTCTCGTTCAAGGAGACTGACAACGAGAGGCTTCCGAAAGGAAGGCGAACAAGTGAGACGTGCTGCATATGAGAGGTGAAAAATATATATGTAAGAACACCATGGGGGGCAGGATAAGTATGGCACTTTCGTACTTATCTTAGACATTGTACTGAATTCAACGAGTGGGAGAGAATGGAGACAAAAGAATAAGCGTCTCGGTCCCTTGTTTCACTCAACAAAAATAATAAAGAAATATTGTTTCCATAATCATCATATTTTTATTGCAAATGTATTTGCAAATGCACTTGGCCAATGAAAATTACGGAATTCAAGTTCACTTACATCAATTGGAAAAAAGATTTGAAAAATTACGTGAGGGTACGGTAATTAAAAAAAAAACATTTCCAAATGAATCATCATGAAAATTCCGTATTAGGTCCGACAAATATTCCTCAATCATATTTCGCTCTGGGGTTATGGGAAACATTTTTATCGAATATTTCTCTCAATGAATTGTCGAATTTCGGTGAGACAATAATCCGGTGAAAACCCTTTGCCTTTGGAAATGAAGCGGACATTTTTCCAAAGGGTTCCTTCAAACATCGGTGCGAATTTTAACCCCCGGATATCAGTCCGATAAATATTTATCGAATGTGAAAATGCTGTGTGGAAAAAGGAGGACACGCATCGCCCCAGAGACAGCTAGAGGAAAGTGAGTATTTTTCGAAGTGTAATCGAGAGTCTCGGTACATCCCAGGATAGGAAATGCAGGAGTTGTACAAGCATGAAGAGGAATTCGATCCCATGAAAAATGTTCCGGCTTAACTCTAAACGCCTTTCACTTCGCACTCTCATCGACCGCAAAACCGTTTCCATTTATTCTATTTTATTTCTCGAAAACTCGCCTATCGAACGATCATCTGATTCGATATAATTCGTAATCCCCACGTGGTCTTGTCATTTATTCCAAGGATCACCACCTGGCAACGAGAGAGAAATTACGAAGTCATGAGGAAGATCATACCCAGACACATTTCCGAGGGAAAATAACGTTTACCGGCTGTGGTTGACGGAATTTTGAAATTTAGGTGAAAACCACCGACTGGAATACTGATCGCTTACCCGGAAGGGCTGCTCCAGGAGAAACGAAAAAGGGAAGAGGGCAAAGGCGAAGAATACCCTTCAGAGATTTTTCTAACTATGACTAGGGAACGAGATCGCTCCTGCAAATTATCCTTGAATTAACCCAACCAGAAGAGATTTTCGTGTTCATATGGACGTCATGTTGTTCCAATGCCAGAGAACAAAGGATAAATCTCCTAACAATAGCCATACGAGAAGAGCATGTCGTACCCATTACATATATATTTTCATCTCGCTCAAAATGGAGGGCAAAACAGCCCATCACTTTTCCGAGTCTTCCATTTCTGGATAGAAGTCCAAAGGGATAATGGAGATTAAAAAAATATGTAATACATATTTTATCCGGTAAAGTCTTTACTCACGACTTTACGACATTGTCAGGTGCACATATATCGTATATATCCTATACATCCTATATATGTGGTATATCCCAGTGGTTTGGGTTTTGCCCTGACGCCTACGTACACCCTACATGCTCCTTCAACCGTCATATATCTTTGGAGAATTAATACTGCATGTGAACCATTTGTAGTCCAGGATTCCCTCCTCCATTGATATATATGTTGGATGTACAGGAGAGCCAGGCAAAATGAGACACGTGCAGAAAATCTTTTTAACTCAATCTCATTCTCAATTTTTTCTTTTAATTATAATGTGGTTTTTTTACATTTATTATTCAAGAATCTCGAGGAGTAAAAATCCAATCGCCATTTAACTTCAATCGCTCATTTTTTTATTGCACGCATTCCATTTTATCTTGTGTCCCATTTTACCTTATTGTAAATGGATTTGCAAATGCACTTGGTTAATAATAATTACGGTATTCAGGTTTGTTTGCATCTATTGCAAAAACGATTTTTAAAAATTGGAGCAATAATATCTACAGGGGGAAATAATTTAATTCGATGACGAATTACTCGAGGAATTATCATTCTCATTCAAGTTAATCTACATATTATTTACTATGTTGCATAGTATTGCTATGGGCATGATAATTGTAGTAGACACAGGTGGATATAACCTTTGAAAGGTATTCCTTGGCGCATACGACCTTTTGCTTTCAACCGTAAGACATTAATCACGAGAAACACTGATGTATAAATATTCAGTGAATTATTAAATTGAGGACACATGAATGAAGACCCGTTGCTGTCTCCGTAGTGATAAGATTCATTATTTATTTATTAACAAAAAGCTGTCGGACATTTTTAGAGAATTGATTAATTCTCAACTCTCGTCATACGAGTTATTAATTCAGCGTTTAATAATTTAATAATTGCAGTGACTCCTTACGCCAATTAACCATCGCAGAAGACGATTTTTTTTTAAAGTCCCTCGTCTTGAATGAAGTTAATAAAAATTGAATGGATGGCATTGAATTAGCCAGCCGAATGGAGGGCCTAAGATGAGGACAATGATATCATGAAATCTGATCTCTGGGTTGTTGCACCGAGAATATGTAATGCTTTGTACTGTTATAATGAAGAGACGAACGCCAAGTAAACTAACCCAGCACATACACCAGTTGATTGTAATTGCACGTCAGTTCGTAATCATCGGTTGTCCTTATCAATTGAGCCCCTGACGAAGGGTAGTTTGCTAACGAAGTTAACACTGAGTTTTGGTGGAGTGTAATAAAGGGTTGATACATCATCTGAGTGATAAAACTCGTCTAGAGGTAATCGATGGTGCATGAGCGCTCATAATAACGGGCTTTGATAAAAAATAAAAAAATTCATGGAAAAACTGCAGATGGAAAAGACTAAAAATAGATGAGGGGGTGGTATGCAGCAGGGGGTTGCTGTGGGCGAGTGCAGCGCTCGTGGTGTAGACGCCCCCGAACGGAATAATTTGGAACGCCAACCGGCTAACCTCAGGAGAAGATGTCCGAGTGTGGTACGACAAGATTTCATGCCCTCCAAGACTAGATCCATCGAGGGCACGACCACACACGACCACACACGACCACATGGGACAACTCACGGAATCCTCATCTCATCAATGCAAATGATTTGCCATTTATTAAATCAATCGACAAATAAAACAAGTCCTCCCGCAATTACAATCACTCATCAATCCCAGGTAAACCACAGATGAAATAAAATTCAATGCAACACTGTTTAATCTCAAATCCACCCATCATCGATTACGTATAAACACTCCCATAAAAAGGCGAGTAAATAATAATCGTTTGAATTAATGATGAGGAGTCTTGAGGTGTCATGAAGATTTTGATGGAATTTCAGGGTTTTTCATCGCAAGATAAGATACGTGGAGATACATCCGAGATGCTGATGATAGCGGGAAATATCTGGAGAAACCGGTAGATCCACTTATGCCTGAGGCTGCGGTAGTGATTGCACTATTGACCGAGTGTTAAGAGATAAGAGAAATCGTCGAAATTGAAAGAGTGGAAGAATTTTATAAGTCTAGACAAATGAATAGGTAATGGTGAGGTGTATTGAGTGAAACACTTACGCCGCTATGCTTTTTGATAATGGCCACCGTTCCATGGTAGATTGGTACTTCATATTCTCAATCTGCTTCTTCAGTGCGTCTTTGTCCATGGTGGCGAGTACACTGGGATCCATGGTAACAACCGCACCCCCCTGACGCAAGTTGGAACGATGTAGCGCTTGCGCCTGTTAAAACCGGCAAAATCAATATCAGTTGTTAAATGAGGGAATGGGATATGTTCCCTGCATGGATAACAGGGATTCTTTGGGGTGAACTGTCGAGCTAGTTAGCTTTGTCATGTTCACCATTTTTTTACTCAGCGCATTCCCACCTAAGGTCTCAAAATAATATTATTTCTCTGGAATATTCATATTTTTTTTTAATCTGTGCGAATATCTCCGCAAGACATGTCAATTGCGGATGTATTTACTGTTCACCAGTAAATCCGCATGAATACTTCTGCGAGACATGATGATGAATATATTTACTGGTGAGCAGTAAATATATTCGGCAAAAAAAAATTCTTCAACCCCTTCGCATTTTCGTAAGAAAAAAAAATGTTTTACCGACAATATTTACTGTTTAGCAGTAAATCTGTATGGATAGCTCCATGAGACATGCCAATGCCAAATTTAATTAATGATGGGGAGTAAATATATTTGGCAAAAAAAAATTCTTCAACCCCTTCGCATTTTCATAAGGAAAAAAAATATTTTTTCGAATATATTTACTGTCAACCAGTAAATCTATGGAGAAACTTCCACGAGACATGAATTTTCGAAAAAGTCGAATCGATCTTCGCCGAGGAACAGAACACATGCTCAACGCTCAACCAATTTTCTTAATTCTATTCATCAAATCGTGAAAGCTACTACTTGAGGTGCAAACTGAAAGTAAAGAATAACATTATTATAACAAATTGCAGAGATTCCCAGAGTGATTAATTAGCACCGCGACAATACTTCAGGATACTTTCTCCGGATGTAAATAATTGCCTGAAAATGGAACTGAGTAACGGAAGTCAATGATGAATTCACGAAGAATGTCTGTTAAGTATTGCCTACTGGAAGATCACAACAAAAATGGTATAACGAGGAGCAATAAACTTTATTAATTACTCCTGGGCATTGCAATCATAAATCCGGATAAATGATCCCAGTCTTGTTAAAGTAATATGCAATGATTATGAAACGATAATCTCTCGAAATCAGATAAACGACAAACCTGTAATAAAAATCGAATTGTTTATTGCAGTAGTATTAATTTACGAGGGGAATAGTTACCATTTGAGTGACAAATAAAAAACAGAATTAGAGAATTTATTTATTATCACTAAACTTGAATGAGAAAAACCGTACAAATCGATACAACCGATAAACTTTGAGCTGCACGAAAATGTTCTTCCAAAAAAGGATGAACATCTACTAGAGTTGGGGATACATTGGCTCTTGTAACAAGCCATCGATCAGTGGTCGCAATCGCAACCGCAATCATTAATTTTCAATTGCATGGTGAACAATCAGCCGAACTGAATGCCACACGAGCTTCATGCATCATTGGCATTATAATTTCGCTTTTCTTTCCGGAACAAAAAAAAAATTCATGCAACAGATGTTGCACTTCTTTCTCCAATTATCGTCGAATAATTGTGTCACCTGTTCCCTCGACAGTCGTTGCTTTCCCGCAAGATATAAATTCTGAAACATTACAATGAGTTATCAATTGTTACAACTTCCGGATGCATTTGTTACCCCATCGTCAAGAAAGAACATAAAATTTTCGTCATTGGAATTTCAGGTTCATTTATTGCGTACCATTCGGGTGAATAATTACAATAATTTTCCAGCGTTTTTTTAAACTTTTCAAAAATTTGATGAACTTTAAAAAAAATGGGGAAAATTGGCAGATGGCGATTCGAGTCGCTCGAAATATTCATCTTGTCAATTATATTTCATGTCATTGTACTCTAACACGTAATACCTATAATTGTAGATTACGGATACCTGTCACATTTAAACTCGTTAGAATTCAAACTGATGAATACGTAGCAGCACAATGTAGCATTCCTGGCACTTCCCTTTTCACTCCATCGACGCTGCCCCAATAATAAACTCCTAGGAGTTTGTCGTGGTCGTCGGCTATCCACGAGTCACTCATCTGTATATAAACTACTGTTAACTAAGTGAAAAGACGGGAAATTATTCGCTCGATGGAGTTTCGGAATTCTCGTTTAGACGACCTATTTCTATTTATGTTTATTGAATTGAGCATATGCAGTATTTTCTATTTCTGGAGTAATTACTGGTGGAAATTGTTATAGTTCGACCTATAATCGGAAAGATTACTCGGAAAAATTACTCACATCTGAAAGAATGAGGAAATTACGACTGCGTTAAATTTCATGACCATTTAATTCAAAAACTATGAAGATTAAATGGAATAAGTTCGGTAGTCGCTTGGAATTCAGAGTTTTAAAGTTAAACTTCTCTCGATTGGAAACTTTGTCGATACCAATCGCAGAGTTTCAGTACGATAAGATCCGAACAAATAAAAAAATTTGCTGGATACACAATAATATTCGAGAGACGAAATTTTTTATCGGCAGATGGGTCGTATCATTCCACATGAGTTCAAAGTTCAGCAATCAAATAGTGAAATATATACATTGGAGCTCGTAAAAACTGCGGATATAATATAATCAATAGAAAATTTTTTCCCCGTGTGCAATGAGGCAATTTATGACCAATTGCGTCAAGAGTTAAAAAAAATTTTGTATTACAAATATTATTGGTAATATTCGAGAGAAATTCGGACATCAACCCGATGATTCAATTTCTCCGAAAAAATCATTTGATCTTGGAAATAAATTCCAGGTAAATTTTATAAATAATTGAACCGTTCAATTTCCCGGAACGATTGCAGATTTTCGTCTGAGCGTTCCTCAATAACTTAATCATTAAATAATTCATAAAAAATGGGAAATAAAAATCTCTTAAATATAATCCAGACAGATATAAAATATTACCCTATATTTCATTTAAAACTAATAAACATTGTGAATAGATTTCCAATACTTGATAAAAATAGAAAAAAAAATGAAAGTAATGGCAGAAAATCCTGAAAATAATATCTACCTACCTTCCCTTGCCGAGGAAAATCCAATGCCGAAGGTGGCATATTACTCCGAGGATAGAATCCCGGATATTATAGTATACCATAGCATTTGCCTTCAACTTTGTATATTGGACACTGCACTATCCCAGCCGGCCATTTCTCATAGTTAGCATGAAATGAAACCCTCGGGGAATTCTGGACATGCGAAAAGCCCTCAACCCCTTTCATATACAAAGGGTTCAGTCGGGTTCAAAAGCCCAGGTGAGAGACTCTTCTTTTGTTAAAAATTCGTAAATAACAATGGGGACCCGAAATACTAATGGAAAGTACGTGAAAATTATCCCCAAATCGGTAAATGAACATTTCAACTTTTAATTACATGAGTTTTAATCTCATTTCAATTGAGAACGCCAACTTATTCTTTCATGTTGAATAATAATTGGATTTTCAGTACATGAAAATTTCAATTCAAGGAAATTATTGCGTGAATTTTCGCCTTTTTATCGGGTTTTCACTGGAATATCGAGGTGAATATTAAGAATCAGCAGAATACTCAAGAAATAAAATGATTCGTTGAAAAATTTCAAGGTTTTTACTTGAACCTTCAAATTGTAATTGTAATTATTCAAGAATGTACTCAACAGGTATTATCCAGTGTTTATAGTTATCCCAACTAGTCAGTGGCGCCCATCAACATATAAATCAACTCAGGCCCAACTAATCACAATTATAAACTCGTTAAAACTTTAGAGGAAGAAACGGGTTGCACTTGCCTTTTAATTAACAGAGTGGCAAACCGATCTCCACAAGAACAGATCACCGGCACGGATTCACTCACTTTATAATTGTTTTTGTGGATCTTTAATTTTTCAACAGCAGGAGGAATATTGTAGATTATGTCTCGATCAGTTTGCACGTCAGGGAAATTCTGAGGATGCTCCGCAGTTGACGGTCTTCGGGATTCGTTTACAGAAGCCCATCAGTGCTTGCAAATCTAATAAAGCTTCAATGTGTGAAATTCTGGAGGCCTCGAAGTACGAATTTTCTATCGAAAATCATGCGACCTCTGAAGAATGGCGAAAGTATTTTTCATTTCTTCTTCTCATTAGATGGAGAAAATTTTCTCGTAGAATTTCGGGAACCGCGTGCTGCTAATTGCAGGGTGTAACGTTCAAAGTGAAAATTTATATTTTCAGGCATTTTTCGGAATGGAGTATCCTGTTAATGGGATGGATTTATTTTTTTTTGGCAGTTGATGGAAGTTTGTTTTTATGGAGGTAAGGAATTGGGCTTGTGCTAATGAGAAAATATCGAAGAACCGATTTTTATGCAATCATGGTAATTGTTTCCATTTATTCCAGAAAAATAATATTTAGAATTTTTTTTTGTTGTTCAACAATTTTTCATTGTTAAAAGTTCTTCTCAAAAGTTTTTCTCTGGATTGATGCCAAAATGCAGGATGCCATTGGCAAATCGATTTCCCCATCGAAGGAACTCCATCTCGGGCAACTTTAATAATCAATTAATCTGATGTTCCGTAATCTGCGTTGGAAATTAAACGACAAGTTAATTTCCTTCCCCCAGTGAAGGGCAGGTTCTTAATTTTCCGGTGTGAAGTTGGCGTTCTCGATGAGTCGATCACCCACGTAAACCATCTGAAACTAGATGCAGACAGTACAATTGCAGTTGCTGCACGCCAGTTCAACAATGGCGGACTGTAACGATACAAATTCCCACGAAATGACAGAAAATAATATTCCAAAACGTTGTAACAATCAATGGGTGCGATTGAATGTTGGTGGTACATATTTCTTAACGGCAAAGACAACACTAGCAAGAGATCCAAATTCATTTTTATATCGATTATGCCAGGAGGACTCGGATCTCATCTCTGACAGGGTTAGTTGACATCAATTTTTACCCGCGTGATTCGAATTTCCCTATTAATTTATTATTCACACAATTGAAAATCATTTATCTTGTGATTTGTGGAAAATTTGAAAGAAAAACAATATATTCTGCAGTGGATCAATCATCTGGTTATCCCGATTCAAGTCTTTTGGGTTATCGTAGTATTGAATGCTGACTTGTCTGAATAACCTCAATTTTCTGTTGTCTATTTTGTATTTTACTCATTTTCAGGACGAAACTGGAGCGTATCTCATTGACAGAGATCCTACCTATTTCAGCCCAGTCCTCAATTACCTTCGTCATGGTAAACTAGTGATAAATAAAGACTTAGCTGAGGAAGGTGTCCTCGAGGAGGCTGAATTTTACAATATCACAGAGCTCATTAGACTTGTTAATGAGCGAATCTTACTCAGGGACACGAGACCAATGAGAGATTCGAAGAAACATGTTTATCGAGTACTGCAGTGTCATGAGGATGAAATTACACAGATGGTTTCCACCATGTCGGATGGATGGAAGTTTGAACAGGTACAGTTTTTTTAAAAAACCATATGCACTGGATCCAGGGGTTCAATCATCAATTTCCAAAAATTCGTGTATTTTTCAAAGATTCGATTGATATCCCTTGTGCTATCACTATCACTTTATTAAAAAGCATTTTTTTTATTGAACTTTCAATAAAATTTGATACGCACCATAAAATCTATAGAAGAAAATTCCCAATTTTTCAGGACGACTCGTAATTAAAACAACACAATCGATCACAATACAAATATTTGAGCTATTTTTATTTTACCTGTTGTGAGACTCGAGGTTGCTTTTTTTTATGTTGAAAATTTTCTGCTTTCCAGCTTATCAATATTGGATCTCAATATAATTATGGAAACGACGATCACGCTGAATTCCTGTGCGTCGTAAGTCGGGAGTATGGAGCAAGTCACTTGGGTAACAAGGAGCAGGAGTCAACCGATCGTGTTAAGGTACCCTTTACTCATTCGCATACAGCCCACTCAGGCCAAAGTAGTCGTGATTAATTGAAATCATTTAATTGTCTCCATTTACCATTATTAATTATTAATCCAGTCAATTATGTCACAACCAACGTAACATAGAATGATCTACTTATTGTAAACTTTATTTTGCTCTAATATTTGCTATCACCAAGGCACCCAGTATTTTATTTCTTATGCAATATCGTTGGTACCAAAAAAATCGATAAACTTAGAAACATCAAAGACATTTGTAGCATTTTTGATAACTGTTTTTGGGATGAAAAACCAAAGATATTTTTAATTTCATTGAAACCGACGTAGATGAGAGGATTTTTTTATTATAAATTTGAAATATTCGTATTTTTGATATTTACTTTTCGCATGAGCATGATTACATTCACTCACTCATATATTTTGTGTAACGTAATTTTATTGTTATATTAATAGTATTGTATCATCAATGATTATTCTTATCATGATTATGTTAGTACCGTTATTGTAAACGCATGCTGCTCAGTGAATAAAGAATTTTATTTAATCTTTTCCATTGGTTTGGTTTTAATTTATTTCTCCCGGATTATTTCCTGCATGAAAAATTTTTTTAACTTACGCTGCATGTCATTTTTGTGAAGAGTTAGCAATTAAATTACTTACACATAAAGAGTGAAATGTAAGGATTATTCGCTAGCGAAGTGAAACAAATATAACGAAAAGATTTAACATTTTATTTAATAATTAGCACAGCCTTTGATTTGACCAATGATGGCGTACGAGAATTTTCATTTTGTTAAGTTCATCATGTTACCCTTTGCCGTACGTGAGTTATCAATGATATTGGATCATTAACCTTTAATTTATTTGATGTATCTTCATAATGTGAAATAACACTTTGGCACTGATTCCGTCGGATTGGAAGTTCCAACGGTCTTGATTAAATTTGTGAAGTAAAATTGGAAATTTTTACGATTGGTTTCCAGGTTCTCCAGCAGAAGGGCTCCCGTATGTAATACGCTTAATTAATGAAGATATAATTTAATAACCACCCTACAAATATCACGATCCGTGCAGCACCCACGACGAAGACTGTTTTATATTGTTTCTGTTTTTTTAATTTATCAAAAAAATATTTTAATGAAAGGAACAATGACAACCTCTCGAGGTAAGATTATTTACATTCTGTATAAGGAGATTAAGTCACTCATTAGTCATTTTTTTCATTATGCGTGATTTTTTCATTAATTTCATTATAACGCATAAGGTAAACGTAAACTCGCACCTGCCTTCGACCAATATTGGTTCACACTAGAAAATCAATGCGAAAATATTGAGTTGACATTGATAAAGACATGAGTGGTGGACTATTCGAAGAATATATAGGTTTTTATTAGATTTAAATGAGCGAAGAAATTAACCTTTTTTTTTTACTTGTCTGGCAACTATTGAAATTAATTTTTATTCAGTTTCCATGGTATTTAGAAGAAATGTACAAAGTTTAATGATACTTTAATTCCAAAATCATTATCGTAACGGAGAGAACTAAATTAACTTATCCGCACTGCCGCTAAGAAAAATTTATGAAAAAAAAGACAAAAATGAGAATTATTCTAATTATAGGAAGCGTAATCAAACGCGTAGAAACATGAAGATTTTTTCATACGATGTTTCTAGAAACTTAATCGTATAATTTTTAATATGAGAGATACTTACGATAAGTCAGAATCAACCATTTTAATCTTCTGTATACAATAATGAACACTCGCTGAAACGGAAATCATTAATTAGATGTTGTCCGTTAAAAATTGACGGGAGAGTTAAAACCAATCAAACTGATAAAATAATCACGCTGTTGTTTGTATCCATTATATTTTTTTCCAAACAGATTTTTCATTTTCTTCGGATTTTTTCATAACTCAACACAAAATAAAATTTCGATATTCTAATCCTGAAAGAATCAAAAGAAAAGTGATTATTTCAGTAACAAACGTGAAAGAGACAGAAGGTAAATGGCAGTCGAACTTTAATTTTTTTTTTCATGACGAAATCTGAGATTTCCATGGCAAGTAATATTCGGAAAAATTTCAGGATTGATTTATGAAATATTCATGGAAGTTACTGAATAATTAAAAATAGAACTGTTACGACTTACCACTATGTTATGACTTTCGTTTCTCCTGATTTATATTTTTTAAACTCTCCAATGTCGCATGATACTTATCAATAGGACGTTCATTATCATGACGAAATCATTGGATAAAAATTAGGTTGTCAATTTTCATAGGCCTATATGAATGAACCCTTGGACGATAGAAATAAATGGTTTAGGAGGAAAGATAAATTATAGTACTAGTAAATAATCTACAATAATAGAGAATAAATTAAGTGCCAGATTATAAATTATCATCAAAATCCATGATGCAAGCCCAGTACAAAAATCATCCGTGGTTTCACAATTCATTTTTATCATCATCTATTATCCTTTAATTTATTAAAAATGCCATGGACTGGTTGTCATCATTAACAAATTTAGAAATGAAGTGATAACACGTACTGAACACTGAATTATCTCCATAATTCTAAATCGAGAGAGAAATATAGAAAACTTTTATGTTCAAATTTTTTTTTACCACAGTCTTCAAATATTTTCTCCGGAAACTGGTGATTTCATGACGTTTTATTCCTTCAGTTCATAATTTTTATGGATCACTGCAATAATCTGGCGTGTTCTCCACATGGAATATAATCCTCCGACCACTCACATCTCTAAGTCGTTCATTTTAGCTCAAAAAAATATGTGTATGAATAATATTAGTAATTAACTGTCTAAGATAAAAAAAATCAATATAAACTATTCACGTCGCATTAAAAATCGGTCATCATAATTGAAGATAATTCAACGAGAATATGAAAGAATTAGGTGCGTGTCATTTTTCGAAATTCGAGCGAATTTGTACTTTCATAGACAAATTTGTAAAATTTATTAATACGCAGAAATAATTTTTAAACTGTAACAAAAAAAATGAACATTACAATCACTAGGTCGTGGTATACGTTATTTTTACACGAGTATTGAGACAGAAAATTTTAATACAAAGAACGTAATAATAAGACGACGCTAATTAGGAGAAACTCAAATTAAACGTTAAGGTGTTCGATTCTTAATTTATATCAAAATTCGAGAGATAATTATCTCCACCTTGTTTCAATCTGAGGGATAAATATATTAAAACTATTACGATCGTCTTTGTTGATCTATCAATACAAATGAATAAGAATATGTACTCACTATACTCACCCGTAATTCAAGTGCACACAAATGATCATATTAATTATGGGATGTTTTGAAGTTATTTATTATTATATTCAGACTTCAGTAGCAAGACAACAGGGTGAGTTCAATGGAGACCCTAATGAAATTTTTGATGAGACCTTTCTATCGGAATTCTTACGAAAGCTATTCAAGGATTATCCTGTGACAATTTCTCATATGCTTATATTGCCTCATCCTCTTACATTTCTCTACTGAATTATCTCAAATATAAAAAATAATTCCTATCGTTTTGTACTAATGCTGGGGTTCATCAGAGAGAAAGCAAATAAGTGAATTAAAAAATTAAGAATTCAAATGAAGAAGACCATGTACACAGGTTTGCAAGAGGAACATTCTATGGAATGAAATTACATTTGAGCAGCTATTCTCAGCAGAACAATAATAAAAGTAACGTGAACGAGTAATGGATGGCAAATACAGATAGTCATCAATTTTATAATTAGGAAACGTGTTGTGTACAATATGTTATACTCTAACGAAAAGTAAGGGTGTATATGAAGAAATTTTAATTGTTTGTATAAGTTGTGATTTTAAAGATTAAATAAAGACTTTATTGTACAATTGGTTGGACCACTTAACTCACTACCATTTCTTCCACTGCCTTAGAAAAACAAATCTCTTAATTAACGTACATTCATTATATACAGTCCGATACAAAATACATGGAAAAAATTATGTATTTGGAAAAGATTACTCTCGGTGAATGAGAGGCTGTGGAATTTTTTCAGGGCATACTGGCGATGGTTTTCAGAGGTCCATCAAGGTATTTGGCGAGGGCCTGCGCTTTTTCTCTCAGCAGACCAAAACCTACGTTCTCCTTTGCGTAGAGACATAACAAAAGATTTGCTACTTCTGTTATGACAACTTTTCCCTCCTGAAATAGGTTATTATACCATGAATAAGACAGGCCCTTAAATTTTACAAAAGTTTCATTTATTGGGAAGAATTTACCAGACAATCCATGAGAACAAACTGCAGCTCATCCTCTTTGAAGGCATTTCTTCCATTCTTCTCATATGCTGACCAAATATTACTGGTTATCGCAGCTGTAACTCTAGCATCTTTATCTCCATATCCACTGTATGCCAGAAGGCCTCCATCCCTGCTGAGTAATCTACCAGAAATTGAAACATTGATAAATCATTCGGAGAATGGTACTTTTATGAAATAAACACTTCCATCAATGTTGCATTAATCTTACAGAGTATTTTCCACACCACCGGTGTTAGCCTGGCTGAGAACCTGAGTGAGGGCCTTCGGTTTCAGCATTTTGCGACCCTGAGGGCAGCTTCACATAGTAATATACAAATCAGAAAACTGCCAATTGGGGCTATGACACACACAGGGACAGTTGCTCCAAGAATTTTTACACAACTAGCGCTGCCTTTCCAGTCGATCTTTTTTTTTTTACTGCAGGATTATTCTCTGGCTATGTAAATTTGTGAAGCATCGTAGTACTGCACCCCAAGAGAGGGAGGGCGCCACACGCAATGCTGGGGTGTTTTTTTTTTATTAACCACGTTTTTATTGCAATGCTGGGGTGTCAAACGAGTCGACGGGGTGAATTTTGGTTTCTGTGGTATGAATGCTTTTTGTTTTTTAATTGTTTAACTGAAATTTAGCCAACTGCAGAACGGGCGGAAGGGGGAAACCACATCTAGTGGAATTTCAAATGGAAAAAGACCGTGGAGGAAGGCCAAGCCATTTGCAACAACCTACTTGAAAAATTAGGAATCTCCAATGATGATTTATTAGCTAGTGCTTACATCGACATGCTGCAGAAGAAGAATAATAAAGAATAAGAAACAGAATTGTATTGTGTGAAAAACTCTCCTTGTATTCTTCTATCGAATAAAAATCTGCGACTTTTTTATGAATGAATACGATTACTTTATTTCCTCCACATCATCTTTATAAGATGGCTGAAAAGCCTAGTCACCGAGGATGTCGTCAAAGACACAATAATGAATTCAGACAGTGTAAAAAGGTCCGAATAAAAAATACATATATTTCAGTGACTCACCGGGTTGGATGAAAACAATACAGCTTCCGTTTTCACCTCTCCAACAGCTTTCCTGCATGTATCTTGATCCAAAAAAAAATATCCACGAAAAACACACATCCTGAGGGGTATACATCCTCAATAATTATCACTTGTAAAAAAAACACTTCCTGAGGGGTATACATCCTCAATAATTATCACTTGTAAA